CCAGGCCCGCAGCCAGTGCCCCCGGCCTTGCCTGGCAGCTGCCAGAGGTACCTGACACGGGGGAGTCCCTCGCCACGCTCTGCAGTGGGGGGTCCGTGTTGAAGCAGAAGGTTTGTGGCTCTGATGTCCCCCCGTTGTCTTCAATCCCATCCACAACTCTAGGGCAGGGAGGGGGTGAGGGCTGGCCATCGTCACCCCCTCGCCCCTCTGCCACCATTCCCAGTGGCCTCCTGGGGGCCCCACGCAGCCCGGCCAGCACAAACACGTGGCAGCGGGACAAGCCACCAGCATGTCCCAGCCTTACCTGGGGCTGAGGTCCGGGGGGCCGTAGGCATGCAGGGAGGGGATGAGGAGCTTGGCCGGCCTCCTGCCCATGCCGCCCTCCCGCTCCAGGAGCTGGGCATCCCTCCTGCACTGTGGAGAGGGGCTGCGGCCCTGGCTGCAGCGGGCTGGGGAGCGGCAGTTGCGCCGCAGGGCTGAGACCTGGCACAGCTCATCGCCCAGGAGGCTGCTCAGGGAGCCATGGCGTGCCGGGCTGCTCAGCTGGGGCAGCAGCAGCTTGCGGCGGGTCATGGTGGCGGGAGAGTGCTGGAAGACCTTGTCAGGCTCCTCCTCATCCTCCAGGATGGAGGGAAGGGGCTTCTCCGGGGCAGCACCACTCTCTGGACGAGGCTGTGGGCAGGCACAGGGAGGAGGTTAGGGCTGGTCCTTGTGCAGGTGCCAAAGCCGGGCATGGCCACCCCTGCCCCGTCCTCCCCTCCGCCCACCCCCGGCATGGCACAAACCTGTGGTGCCTGCGACAGCCGCGGTGACCGGGAGTAGCGGCAGAGCCCCTGTGGGGACAGCAGATGACACCGGCTCAGCAGCATGTGGGATCCCCACACGGCTGCGTGGGGACTGGCCACAGGCAGACACAGCACCGGGCACGTGCCCACCCGCTCCCTGCCTTGGCACGCAGCCCTCCCAGCCTCTCAGTGCCCCCCTGGACAGCCAAACCACCTCCAGCACCGCGCATCAGCCCCCGTCCCTGTCAGCCCCAGCGCTGGCCTCTGCAGCCCCTTGCCTGCTCTCCTTCCTCTGCTGCTGTCATGACGCTGATGAGCTGCCCGACCTCGGCCTGTGTGTACCGAGCCGGAACCGCGGCTGCGCCTCAATTCCCAGCCCCAGCTCCGCCATCAGAGCATCGGCTCCTCTGGGCGCATGCTGCTGGCCAGGGGAGGGTGCACAGGGCTTCTGCAGGACCTGGCAAGCTCCGTTTGCATCCATCCACCCTTGGTTTATCTATACCTCTCCTGGGCGATGGACACGTTGGGTTTTGGTAGGGCTATTTGGGATCTAGAGAGCGACCTCCTGCCCCACCTCTACAGGGCCGGGGGGCGGTGGGTACCGGGGGGAGATGCTCTGGAGGAGCCCCCAGCTGCTTGGTGCCAGCACAGAGCCAGCAGCAGAGATGGGGGAGGAAAAGTGCTGCAGAGCTATTTCTGCAGCAGAACATCCCCCTGGCTGCTAGAGTCGGCAGCGTGACTAAACCTGGCAGCCCCCGGCACTGCCTCCTGCGCACCAGGGGGGCCATGCCCCAGCTGGCTGTCCCACGGTGCCCCCCGGTCCCCTCCACCCCCATTTCCAAGCCCTACATCCCCCTCAGCATCCTGCCCTGCAAATGCTCTTGCTTCCAATTCCCCGGGTTGCGCAGAACCAAGAGGAGCCAGGACGGGACGTACCTGGATGGCTGGGGCGGCACAGCCGCAGCCCCTGCCCTGGCCTCAGAGCCTGGGGACCACAAGCAGGGAGCGGACAAACTCCCCTTCCGTGGCCGTGCGGAGCCCCAGCCCTGCTCCGGTCTCCGGGGCTGTGAGGACGGGAAGGGGCCTGCAAGGGAGGACACGCACCCACCTCCATCTCGCTGCCCTCCCGCAGGTTGAAGGTCAGGTCCTGGTGGATGTCCGCCGTGAACTTGCTGGCATACTCGGGGTAGAGCTGCAGCACCTCGCAGAGCCCCCGCAGCCTGATGTACTGCAGGTCGCAGTAGGTCAGCGCCTTCACATCCGCATTGGACTTGATCACTTGGTCCGTGCTGCACAGGTCGGCTCCGATCAAATCCCCTTTGCCTGCAGAAGGGCACCGGGGTGGGCTAGCGGTGCGAGCCCCGGACCCCTTGCCCAGCTGGGCAGCAGAAGGGGCTGGGGGAGAGCCCATGCCGCCTGCCCTCACCCAGGATGGCCAGGACCACGTTGTCCTTCAGCACCTCGAGGGAGCCGGAGCAGACGAAGTAGTTGGCCTGCAGCGCGTCGCCCTGGCGCAGCAGGTACTCCCCCGGGGCGCAGAACGAGGTCTTGATGTGGAGCGAGAGGGAGCGGAGGCAGCCCCGGCTGGCCGTCTCGAAGACGGGCAGCTGCAGGATGTCCTTGTTGAGGTGCATGGCCACGTCCGCGCGCAGCTCATCAGGGAAGTCGTGCAGCAGCTGGGGAGAGCGGGGACGGGGTGCTGGGATGTGGGTGGCAGGGAGCAGCCTTCCCTGCAGCCTGCCAGCCCCAGGGGACAGATCCCCTGCTGGAGCAGAGCATCTCGCTGCTCAGCTGCCCTGGCTGCCTTGGCAGAGCCCAGCAGTGCCAGCTGGCAAACACAGGACAGCTCTGGCCGCGGTGATGGGCTGCTTCTGCTCCACATGCCTGTCCCGCTCCCCAAGCTGGCAGGAATCTGTCCCAGTCCTGGCACCCAGCTCTGGTCCCTCCAGCAACAGAGCATGGACATGTGCACATCTGCACACGCATACACACACACACACATACTTGCACACTCATAGCTGGCCCTGCCAGGCCCATCACCCCCACACTGGGTGCAGGACAGGAGGCCAGAGGTGGGGCTGGCCCAGCCCGGGCAACACCTCCTACCTCGTTAGCATCAATGCCGTTGTTCACCGACCAGGTAGTCTGGAAGTACTCCAGCATCCTCTGCTTGAGCTGCTGGGGCAGGCGGTGGACACGGATGAAGTCCTTGAGGTCCTTCATGCGGGTGTGGTAGAGCGAGCGGCGGGAGTACATGCGCTGGATGATGGCCGTGACGTTGCCAAAGACGACAGCGTGCATCAGTGCTGGGGGCCAGGAGGGCAGCGTCAGGCCCGCGGAGGGGCCGGCTGGGTGGAGGGCTGCGGCATACGAGGGCCCCAGGCAAGGTCTGGGCTCTGTCCTCGCCAGCAACGTGGGGCCAAGGGGTGCAGCACAGGGGCCTTCTCCCCTAACCCCAGCCCCAGGGCTGTCCCACAGGGCACACGTGTTCATCGCCTCCCCCCAGTGCCCTGTCATGCCTGGGTACCTGCCGCACCCACTGCTCCAGCAGCCAGAGATGAAGCCCCCCCCCCGAGCCCTGCCCCATTCCCCGCCTCACCCCCAATGAGCATGGTGCAGATGGAGAAGATCTTCTCGGCGTCGGTGTTGGCGCAGACGTTGCCGAAGCCCACGCTGGTCAGGCTGCTGAGGGTGAAGTAGAGGGAGGCGATGTAGGCGCTGCGGATGGAGGGGCCCCCCACTGAGTTGTTGATGTAGGGAGCCTCCAGCCTCTTGCCCAGCTCGTGCAGCCAGCCTGCCAAGCACAGCCAGGGGTTAGCGCTTGCCGAGGGGCCTGGTGCTCAGCACAGCTCCTGTCCCTGCCCCAGCCTTGCTTTGTCCCATGGGACTGCCCTCTGCCCGCTCCCTCCTGCCAGTGGCACGCAGCAGCATGCAGCGGCACGGGGGGCAAGCCAGGCGTCCTCAGCATGCCCCCACCCTGCGCAGCCCCCGCAGGTGGGCAGCCTCACTCACCGATGTCCCAGGTCTGGCGGTCGTTGCTCTCCATCTCCTTGCGGCCGATGACGTACCAGATGCATGCCATCCAGTGGGCCAGCAGCGCGAACATGGACATGAGCAGGGTGAGCACCATGGCGCTGTACTGCGAGTAGCGGTCTAGTTTCTGCAGCAGCCGCAGCAGCCGCAGCAGCCGCACCGTCTTCAGCAGGTGAACCAGCGAGGTCTGGGGAGCAGGGCAGGCGGGTGAACCCAGCGGAGCTGCAGGCAGGGATGGGAAGGGACCCCTCCTGCCTCCCCCCAGGGCAGGGACCCTTCGCCACCCCCCACAGCTGCCAGGAGGGTCATGGGCTATGGGGCCAGCTGGGAAGAGCTCGTCCCCAAGCAGCCTTCCACCAGTGCCCAGCAGGCAGCCAGGGTCACAGCTTGTCAGGACAGCGAATCACCCCGGGAGATTTGGGGTGCTGGAGAGGGGAGGGAGGTGACTGGTGGGAGGGGGATGCAGGCAGCAGTGGCTTTGCTATCAGAGGCTGCGTTTGGTGAAGCTGTGCTGGCAGAAAGCTGATCTTTTTGCAAGGGGAAGTCTCAGCAAGATGCTGTGCCTTGCCTGCAGAGATCCTGGACAAAGAGAGCCAGAGATGCCCTGGCTTAGGCAGGTGGGTTTGGACGCGCAGCGATGCTGACCGCCCCAGGGCTTCCCACCGCGCACAAAGCTCCTGTCTCGTCCTTTGCCTCCTGCCAGCGCTGCACCGGGCACCTTGCAGGAGCCCAAGGCCACGGGCCAGGCAGGGGCATCGAGCAGGGGCTGTGCCAGAGCAGATGCTGGGTTCAGATCCCACCAAGGTGGGTCAGGATGGACCCACTCCCTGGGTGGCTCAGCCCTGCTCCCACTGCCCAGATGGTCCCTGCCCATCCTGGCAGCTGCAGCCTTGAGACCTTGGTCCCTTGGCAGCATTCTGCAGGAAAGTGCTGCTTATGCCTTTGCACTGCAGTCTCCCCTCCCAGGGCACTGCTGCCTGTGTGCCCCAGCTCGCCTGGCCCCGGCAGAGGCAGCGGCAGCAACGGCCCCTACTGCGGTCACGGTTGTTTTCCTGCCGGGCAGCACCGCTGGGGCACGAGTGGAGCCGGGTTTGACTCAGGGGGGTAGTTCCAGCCCCAAGCGCCCTTGTCCCCTTGTCCTCCCTGCACGCTGCTCTGCCTCCAATAAGCATAATTACAGCCTCTGCACTTGCCTCCTTCCTCCCCTCCCTGCCCCAATTAGCAGAGGATGGGAAGGGGCTGATGCCAGTGGCACACTTGCGCAGCCCATCGCACCCGCTGCGCTGCAGGGCCCCTCAAGAGCCTGGGGAGGCTCAGGCTGGGACCTGCCTTTGTCACCAGCATATGCCCTGTGTGCCCGCATGCGTGGTCACCTCCCTGCCAGAGCAGGTAACATGCAAGTGCTCCTCGCTGCAATGGTGTGTGCGCACAGGGTATTTGCACTCAGACGTAGTGCTGCTCCGCAGCCTGGGCAGAGCACAGGTGTGCTGGGTGCTGGGTGCAGGGCGGGTGCCTGCCTGCAGCTCCTGGAGCGGTGCCTTGGCAGTTACTGTCATTTGTGGCAGCCTCTGGTTAAATTAAGATGCGTGGGAGGCTTCCTGCTATAGATGCCGTCGCTGCTTCCCCTCGCTGCCCGCACCGCTCCCAGACAGGCGCATGAGGAGCAGATCCCTGCGAAAGGGGCCCCCTCCCCTGGGCTGCCCCCTGCCCGCGGCACGAGTGGCACTCACCACAGTCACGTTGAAGACATAGAGCAGATCGAAGGGCAGAGCAGCGATCAGATCCACAAAGAACCAGGTGGCCACGTAATGGATGCAGATGGAGCGGGGGTCGTACACCACCTGGCCCGACTGGCTTACGTACGTCGTCCGGAAATTCAGGATGATGTCTGCCCCAGGGACAGCAGGACCAGCCCTCACTGCCCCTGCCGTGGACTGGGGAGCGGGGCAAAAAAACCGGGGTCCACGGCCAACCCAGCTCCCCCTACTGGGCAGGGGCAAAGCGATGCCAGCTCCCCTCTCCATCACCCCTCAGGTCCGCTCCTCTGGCTGTACCCCTGCCCCACCCAGCCATGTCCCCCATCCCACATGGGTGCTTGGCCCCGGGCACGGACCTACCCAGGATGAAGAGCATCTCCACAGCGATGTCGCTGACGATGGTGCTACGGGCAGCTGAGAGGCTGTCCTCTGTGCCCGTGAAGCAGACGTTGTAGGGGACGGTGATGGCCACATAGAAGGTGGCCAACAGGATCAGCCAGTCCCAGAGGGCCTTGAAGATGCTGTAGTGGAGCAGGATGAAGCGGGACTTCTGCACCGAGGCCACTTTGTACTCGGGGATGGACGGCTTGTTCTCAAACACGTTCTGGGGGAGCAAGCGGCAGGGTGGCACACGGATGGCACAGGGGCCATCCCGCACGAGGGGTGGAGGCCACCGCAGCACCCCTCTCCTCCTGAGTCCCGCTGGCCTGGGGTGATGGACACACATTTCCACATGGGCTGCGCTGGGGTCACCCTCAGAGACGGGCACAGAATGCCCGATTACAGCACATAAATTAATGCTATGCTAATGCTATTATCAATAATCCACTGGCACTGCCAGCTGCTGCCCAGAACTGTCCCAGGTGCCAATTCACGTGCTGGGGCAGAGCCACCCCCACCCTCTGCAGGGACATGATGCTGCTGGGGGGCAGCGAGAGCCCAGCCTGGGCAAGGGGAGAGCTGGGCCCATTCCCCCCCAAGCCCCCATGATTCAAGACTGGCATACTGAAACCCTTTGCCTGCTTGCCAGCTCTGGGCCCCTGGCCGCTCTCGGCCGGTGACAGACCCCCACCCTGGCCCCACATCTGCAGGCAGTGCCCATCGCTGCGGCCATGCCCGAGGACCCTGTGCTGGGGCACCACAGCCACATGAATAGGCTGGCACAGAGACGACACTGGTCCCTGCTGCTGCTGGAAGCCCTGCTGCAGCCTGGTAACGGTGCTCCCCGGGGCCGGCACAGCTGTGCCGCAAGTGAGTGGCTGGGTTTTCCCCAGCTAATGTGTGAGGAGAGACAGAGCCCTGCAAGAGCTGCCAGAAGATCTGCTCTCCCCATGGCAAGCTCCAGGCACCCGCTGGTCTCTCTGCTGCTGCCAACGAACCACATTTGCAGCCTGGACCATGGTGCGGCTGCTGAGGATGGAGGGCATTTTGGTGCCTGGGGAGGCCAGTGAAGTGCATGCATGGGAACAGCAACCCAGCGAGACTGGGCTCTGCTGTGGGGCTGGTCCCAGGAGAGCCGCAGTGCAGCCAGCCCACTCGCAGCCTCAGCCCGGGAGGCACCAGGCGAAGTCGAGGGCTCCCCCAGGTCCTTACACGGTTGATTTTCAACTCGCTGCGGTCCCTGCAGGCAAACTGGCTGCTAAGCCGGTGCAGCATCGTCTGGCCCTGCCTCCGCGCAGCCCGCAGGTGCGAGCTCCCGGGCTTCTTGCTCCTCTGCTTCTCTGCAGTGGACAAGACATGCTGGGTTAGTGGGAGCGCTTGTGCCACTGCTGGTGCAACAGAGCAGGGGCTGCTTTGGGGACCCCTCCTTGCATGGGTGCACAAAGGCGGGCAGGACCTAGCAGGGAACTGGGAACCCTTTTGTCATGTGCCCACTGCTCACACCGCTCCCCGAATCCCATCCCCATCCCACAACCACGGCTCACCCTCCTTCTTGTCAACCAGATGGCTCTTGCCCTGGTTCTCTGTGATGTCCTTGAAGGAGAAGAGGAATAACACCACCTCCCCCTTCTCGTTCTTGATGGGCATGATGTCCAGCAGGCACCAGAACGCGTCTCCTGCATGGGGGAGAGGAGCAGTGAAGGCAGGACAGTCCTCCTGCTGCTCAGCGGCTTCACCACGGGGCTGGCACGGGGCCATGTCCCAGCTGGAGCCATGGGCAGGGCCCCGGCCCCATGTGTCACTCACCACCCTTCTTGTAGAAGCAGACCTCAGTCTGGTACTCCTGCCTGCCGTCCAGCACCTTCTCGATGTGCTGCAGGATGGGCTCGCTGGTCTCGGCCCCATAGAGGAAGCGGCAGCTGCAGTTCTTCTGCATGACCTCAGTGCGGGCAAAGCCGGTGAGGTCGCAGAAACCATCAGAGCAGTAGACAATGGGGAAGCCACGGCGGACCTGCGCGTTGGCCAGGATGAAGTTGCTGTCTGAAAGGAGACGCAGCTGCCCCTGAGGGTTCTGGGCCACCCTGGGAGCGTGAAGGGGAGCCCAGCCCTCCTGGCCCTCCTCAGGTCCCTCTGGGAAGAGGAGCCAGGTCTCTGGCCAGCTGCCGGCTGCCCCCAGCTGCTCCCAGAGCTCGCTCATCCCCTGCCCTGCTGCCCCCAAGGCCCCATCCCAGGCAGGACTGCACAGTCCATGTCCAGCCCAGCCCCACACGCTGGAAGGGGAAGGAGCCCAGATCCAGCTCCCGGCTCCCATCACCAGAGACGCGATCCTGAGCAAGGCAATTCATGCCTCCCCCTCGCCATCTGCCGCTCCCACCTCCTGCCGGGGCTCAGGCAGCTTAGTGGGAGCAGTGGCAAACCTGGCCAGGCACTGCCAGCCCAGAGGCGCCAGGCTGCGGTGCTGGGACCTCCAGCCTCAGGCACAGCACCACGGCACCATGGTGGCACCCGCCGAGAGGGTAGGAGAAAAGCCGCGAGCCTGGGGTGAGTTGAGGGCCCATGCCAAGCTGGCACAAGCCAGAGGTGAAGGGGAAACGCAGCATCCTTGATCTGTCACAGCACCACGGAGCCTCCTCAGCATCACCCCTGTGCCACTGGGGAGATGGCACCAGGCAGAAGAAAGCCCTTGTGAGCCCTACGCCCTGCCCAGCCGCAGAGTGGCCGCTTTCACCCCACAGCCCCCCAGCCATGGGCCAGGCAGGGGCTCTACCCCCGGGGCTGCAGCGGCTCCTTTCTGCAGGCTCTGTGCCAGTGGGACAGATGGCCTCGTGCTAAAAGGGTGCCAAGGAAGCGGGGTGCACAGCTGGTGTGGGCTGTGTTTGCACCCAGCGAGGGCAGACCGGGATGTCTCCAGCCCTGACACAGTCTCCAGCCCATGGGTCCCCAGGCCAGCACCCTTGCACCCCCACGACCCAGGCACCAGCAGCAGGCGAGACATGATCTGCCCCCTCTCACAGCAAAGGAGGGAGATTACAGCGCCCATGCACTGACAGCAGAGCCGTGCCAGGACAGTGCAGGCAAGGCAAGGGCAGAAGAGGTTGCAGGAAGGAGGGGATGGCAGCCACAGGCAGCCCTGGTGCGATGGGGGTGCAGCAGGGCCACCACAGCACAGCTCAACCCCAGATTAGCTTGGAGAAGCAAAAATAGCTTGAAGCTGTGACTAAGGCCAGATTTTGGCTCTGGGGAGCCAGGATTACGGTGTTGTCCAGGATGTGTTATTAGGAAAAAAAAAAAAAGGGCTTGCATGTGGGAGCAGCTCTGCCAAGAAGGGTGAAGCAGCTCTGGCGGGCTCAGCAGCCCCCTGCCATGGTGGCCAGCTTGCCTGGATGGGCACCCTCAGGCCCAGCGGGCAGCGGCTGCCTGGGAGAGGCAGGGTTAACTCGCATGGCATATCGCTGCAGCTAAAGCCCCTCTCCATGGCAGATAAAGCCGATAAGAGACACATCAAACCCGCAAAGCCAGACACTGTTTAAAAGTGCCTGGAAGGCGGGTTGGCGCAGGTGCCGGCAGGATGCTGCCAGGGTGCTGTGGGGCAAATCCCGTCTCCCCGGGGCAAATTCCCAGGGCTTTGCATTGGGTCATTTCAGGCAGCTCCCGCAGGGGCCCTCCTCCTCAGAGAGCCAGACCCAGCCCTGGGGAGCCCAGGACCAGCAGAGCTGGGGACACCAGTCCCTGCTGCGTCCAGGGGCTTTGCTAACACCACAGCAGAACTGGGGGAATTCTCCTCAGCTCAGCAGAGGGGCAGGGGCATGTGGACCCCGGTGCCATGCTTGGCCTCTGCCCCTGTGGAGAGACAGTCGTAGGATGACCAGTGTGCGGCACATGCAGCTCTGCCCTGGCATCTCTGGGCGCAGCTCGATCTGAGCTGGGGAAGGCTCAGTGGGCTGGCTGCCTCGTTACGCATTGCAGTCTCAAAGGTAACATCCCAAATGAGAGCTCCTATGGACAAGTGACACCCTGTGTCATCTGGGATACTCCATATCACGCCAGGCCAGGAGCTGGCCCAGCATCGCAGCCAACGCATGACCCAGGGGTGCTCCTGGTGCCCCAACGGTGCTGTGGGAGGTGGCTGCAGGCTCCCAGTGCCGTCTTCATGCTGGTCCCTCCCAGCAAGGTGAGACATCCAGCCCTGCAGGTAGCTGGCCTGGGAGGCCCCTGCTCCAGGTGATTTGGGGGGGGGGGCTGGGGTCAGCCCTGAACACGACCTGTCCCCAGGTGACTGCATGATGCCAGCAGTGCCGGGAGCTGGCACGTGGCACCCTGGCATGATCCCCTCCCCAACATGCCAAGGCCTTAATCTATCCTGGCCCCAGCACATGGAGGGGAGCCCAGCTCCCAGGGACACACCAGAACCTCCAGCCATGGGAAGTGGCCACAAAACGGACGGCACTGGGACAGCACAGGCCCCATTCCCCGCCCCTGCCAAAACACACCACTACCGGTATCCACCTTTCCAGGGTCGTAACCCCAAGCAAGCAGGCACGTTGCTAACCAGGGGCTCGGGGTGGGCTGGCTGCCCTGTGCAGCACCGGGGCTT